AATTTTGATTTTCAGTAAACATAAAAGTTATGTATTTCTTTTCGATGAAATAATGAAACGAGTATTTTTTAGGATTTAATGATATGGTAGAGATGATATCATCTTCTTCGTAGTGTTTTAATTTTATTGTATCTGGGTTTGTAACATAATAATCATTATAATAATTATCTTGATGATTATAATTAAACCTGGGTGGTTTATAATAATATTTTTTAGATTTATAATGATATGGATACATTTTAAAGATAATTTTATTTATAGATATATTTATTTATATAAAAAAAATACATATAATAAACTAATAATTATTTCTTCTATTCGTTTAAATTACAAACTTTTGTTTCTTTACGGAAATTTTCAATTACAAATAATTCTTGATTTTTATAAAGAGGAGTTGTAATTTTTTCTTCGTTATTATATAAAATTGTAAAAAATCCTGTAAATCCTATCATGATAAGATCATTATCAATTTTCTTAAACTTACCCTCTTTGATATTAATTCTTAAGCCTTTAATATTATTTATATTTTTTGTTAAAAAATTTTTTAAATATTGTGTTGAAAGATTTTCTTCTTTAAGTAACAATTCAAAATCTTCAAAATTAGTTTCGTTATATTTATATCCCATATCATTAATACTTTCATCAATATTTTCATCAATTTTTAGTTTCTTATTGTTAAAAATTTTGTTATTTTCTTTACGGTTCCAATTGTTAATAAAATTTTCAGATTCCCTTTTTAATAATTCAAATTCATTTTCATAATTTTTTTTGTATTTGATGTTGTCAGAATTATCAGATACAATGTTAAATTCATCATCACTATTGTTTTTAAAATCATATCTATTTTTTTTTCTTTTTTTTGTATTTTTCCTTTTTTGACCTTTTTTAATTTAGGTTTTAAATTTTCAATTTTCTTAATATCAGAATCAGAATCACCACTTGAAATCACCAAGATGTTTAATAAATTAATTTTACGTCCACTACTTGTTTTTACAGAGATAGATTTTTCTTTGTCTTTGTATTTGTTAATC